AAAAAAAAAACTTAGAAAGATGGAATTTTTTTGAATTCAGGAAAACTAAAGTCAAAAAACAAAGTGATGATGAGAATGATCCGACCGAATTTGAAGAGGTTGAAGTGCCCCTACGTCCAGCACGCAGCAAATCACGCCAAAGAACACTAAAATGGAAAGGAGATGACGAAAAAATGGAACCCCGATCACCGTCGCCAACCACTGCAACAGAAAGCACCAGTTCAACGACAACGGCCTCACCATCGACGCCCGCATCCCAGTCGCCAGCATCTCCCGGCGAAGAAGTTGCACGAGTAAGTTTTTTTTTGCTGGAGAAGAAAGCATAATACGTAGACGGCATGTCTACTTGCTGAGTACTACCAACAACATGTTCAGTGAGTGGTGGATTAGATGAGTGTTAAAAATAATGAAGCGGCAACGGCCGCTGATGAAAGGATTAGCTGTAAGATATGGAAAAGGGATTAGGGAAGCTGGAGAGAGGAACGTTAATAAGAATGTAATAAAATGTAGTTTTGGAAAGTGAAAATAAGTGGCAAAAACTGAGTTACTGAATAAGTTATGAATGTGGAAGCGGGAAATAGATGAAGGCAGTGGAACTGAGGAAATGTGCTGAAAGACCTGCAGACATTTGATTATCACACATTTTGAGGTTAAAAACCATTTGTTACGTTTGATTTCATAACAAGCTCTGGCTCATTAATTTTTGAAAAATTAACAGTAATGGGCGCCAAAGAAACTCAATCGCATTATGTTTTTCTCTCGCTGCATGATACGCCTCTTGCATTACTTTTTTCTTGTCGATTTTTTCAAGCTCTTTAGTGTCCAAGCGATTCAGAAAATGGGAAAAGCATGTTTCAGGTGCCAAGTCTAAAACATAGGAAAACAGTCTGCTTCATTCCCTAGCTGACAATGCAACCGAAGGGAGCATGCAAGAGTATTTATAGGTGTAGATTTTTCTAATTTATAGCTGTTAAAAACTGCCAGTAAAAAAACTTCATTGTATTTTAGCACTTTCATCATTATGATGGCAGGTTTAGTTTAGTAATAATTAGTCCTATTCTTAGCTTTAGATTCAGTGTTCGAGTAAGAAAAAAACAAGCAGTATGAAGCAAGTTTCCTGGAACGGCCAACAGTTTTTTACGAAAAGAAGCACTTGATTTCGTTATCTCGTCCTGCCTGTGTTTCTTTGCAACAACAGTTTCTCTTCATTCTCCCGTTATGTTGGCAGCAAAAACAATAGTTGGCCGTGAAATGAAAGTGATCAAGTCTAAGTCATCAGTATTTCTAAAATCGTATTACCATTTACTAATTAGGCTAGTAGTGGTCCACAGAGCTGCATAAAAACAAAAAGAGACCGTAATTCTGAGGACTAGAAAAACTCGTAGAAAAACTCGGACTAGAAAAACTAATTTCATAAACTTCTGCATTTTTAGGAAACAGCACGCGATGCTGGTACGGAAACGGTGAAACAAAAGGTTAAAAGACGTAGTGAGAGGAAACGAAAGAAGAAGCAGAAGAAAAGAAAGCGAGGTTTCGTTTCAAATCCAGTACCTTATACTCATCCTTCAGTTATATCTTTACCTGAAGTGCTACTGCTAGATTTCTAATGCTAAAAGTGTCAGCAAACATTGAGGAATTTCCACTTTTTATGCGTTTTTTGCAGCCATGCAATGCGAAAAACGCATGTTGACGAGAGGTTGTCTGTATGTGTGTGTGTGTGTCTGTGTGTGCGCTGCGTGTCTGTACCGATTTTTCATCTCGAGACCCACAAAAGCTAC